TTTCTCACACTCACTCACTTCTACCACCAACTAGGCAAAAACAAAAAAAAGAAAAGATGAGGTTATTTTCGGTTTAACTTAACTGTAGTTTCCTTCATATTGTAACCTATAATTAGTCTCCTGCAGAGTTGTAGAAATCTGTACAGTCCATCTTCAAAAAGATGTGGTTGTGAATACACGTGAAAGAGTGCATGTCACAATCTTAGGACCTATGCTCTCTGGTCTCAAAGCAGGCTCACGGAGTTAAATTGGAAGAAGTAAGTTGGGAAAAGAAAGTTTGAAAACTGGGGAACTGATTTCCTGCATTAAAATGTACTCAGATTAGCTTATTACCCTGTATTATCAAATTCCACTGATTCCAATTAGCTGATGCAATGACTCCTGTTAAGCTCAATTTGCAGACTGTGGTCATCACACAGATTATCAAATACCAGTTAAAGACTATGCAAATACAGCCAGGTGCATAAGGATACCCCACACCAGAATAAAGAAACCAAAGAGGAAAGAAAAGGAAGAGAAGGCAGGTTTGGGGTAAAGGGGTAGGGGGCAGGTTATTGAAGCATCACATGTGACACTTGGGAGGTCTGGAGATGAGACAAAGCCATGGGGAGCAGCCAACATTTAAGGGGTGAAAGAAAGTTGGGAGTCCACAAAGGAGCCGGTGTGGAACAGCTACAAGAACAGAAAAACAAAACAGAGAATGAAGCAACAGGGGAAAAACCTTTAAAAGTCCCTAACAGTGTACACGGGTCAAGGAGATTAAGAGCCTGCCAGAGTCCCAGGCTTGTTAATAGGAATCCTGGAACATAAGATTTTGGTGAAGTGATAAAGGCAGAAATCAGGACTACAGTGGGCAGGGGAATGGAGGGGAGAAGAAGAGGGAGAAAGAGTGAAGGGAGTGTAGCTAGTTCTTCCAATAAATACGGCTGCGGCCTCAGAGAGGAAGAGAGCTATATCTATAGGGATCTGAGGTCAAGAGAAGGTCCTGCTGCAAGAAGGGCAAGTCATGTTAATGTGTGGACAAGAGAGCACCAGACCACAAGGAGAAGCTGAAGATAAAGGAGGAAGAGGAGCTAACTAGCAGGGGTAGGAAAGAGCATGAGCATGAGGAATGGGAACTGAACTGGGGAGGAGAAGAGAAGAGGAGAAAGAAAAGCATCCCAATTACAGGGCCACAGTTTTTCATTTCCTCTGAGATGAAGGATGAGGAAAGAAATGTGCAGAAGTCTGCAACTGAGGAAGAAGGTAGAAGTTAGGAGACTTCACACTGGTAGCTTCTCCCTAGTTCAGTAAAGTAGAAAGGGAGGCGGGAATGGGTGTAGGTAGGGGTCCAGAAAATGAAAACTTAGATTAGTCACTCTGGGAAACTGGGGTCCTGAATAAAGACTCACAAAAGGACTAATGGGCAGCACAGGGCCCAGCTTGGACAGAGAATGAAAGGCGCCAATCCAAAGGACAGCTGCCTGCTCTGCCCCGCTGGGCTAGACTATGAATACAAATGGAAAGAAAGGCAGGCCTCCCTGAGCAAAGTCAGTGCAAACAACAGTGCAGGGATGAGGCTCCCTGACAGACACTGAGGCTGCAGACCGATTCTGGTGCTCTGACTACACCTCTGACTTCAAAGCAGGAAGAGTCTCATGAGTTTCTGATGGTGCAAATCAGTTACCTGCCAAAGGCTTCCGCCATCGTACAACGGGGCTGCAAAGACTTAGTTCTGATGTCATTGGTAATGTTTTTCCTCTCCTTAAAGTACCGGCATGAGCCCTGGATGCCATCCTTATTCTCTAAGATCATATGAATGGGGTAGACATCCTCCAAAGGAACCGGATCCCTCTTGGACTCCAAAATTCCAGTTTCCAAATCGATTTCTTCATACCTAAGGAGGAAAGCACAAATATCAAGCCACAACTCAGCTTCAGAAATAATACATGTTTGGTGCATTGTGAGAACCTCCTACGGAGATCAGAGAGAAGTGAGATCACTCAGTCTTCCTGCATTACAAATGCAGATCATCTTGACCAGCAGCGTCCTCTGCCCCAGAAAACAGACCTTTCCAGGCTTCTCCAAATCCACTCCAGGAGCTGAGTGCTGGAACCAGAATCACCATACTGGCCCAAGTCATGGTCTTTTGGCACCTAGTCTCCAAACCACCAGGTCTGGACTTAATGATTCAAGGTTTTCCTCCTTTAAGTTGTCGTCTTTCCATCTCTTCTTAGTTATCTCTTTAGTATCTTCATCCATTTTCAACTATCACTTGCATGTTAATAATTTTCGCCATTGAATCCTCAATACTAGTTTTCCCCCAAACATCAATCCTGTCTTTAGTTGTCTACTAAACACCTAAAATTCAATGAAATCAAAGCCAAAGTTTTGACTGCCTCTCCCCACCACCCCATAAATCCCTCCTTGCCCTCCCTGGTACCACATTCTCCAAGTTGCCCCTTATCAATACCAGAGAGACACTTTTGACTTGTGTTTTTTCTTTTATCCAGTCAGCCAAGTCTGTCGCGTTCTCCATAGAAATCTTGTTCATGTCTTGCATAATTGAAGCTAAATCCCAAATACACTTTTCAACACTTTCCTCCTTGCCCTCTCTGCGGCCTCTGCACTGTTTACCCTTCCATTCTCAAATCACATCCTCTCAAGCTTCCAGGACACCACTCTGGCCTGCTGAGCGCTCTCTTTCTCTAGCCACATCTAGGCTTCTTCTGAAGGTTCCTAGTCCTCCAATGTGGCTTTAAATGTAGGTGTACCTCAAGGCCATCTCTTAAGGCTTCTAATTCCAATATGCTCTCTCATGGATGATCCTAGCCAACAGCTTTAATTATCAGCCATATGGGATATGTCTAGCTTGGTCCATACCTCTGGCCTGCTTTCACTCCCTTGAGGCCAGGTGTTTACTGAACAGAATCTCCACTTGCATAACTCAAAGGAACCTCAAACACAATGTGTCTGAGTACATTCAGCCCCTTGCCCACTTCCCCCACAACTCAAACACTGTGCTGCTCTTCTTGTGTTCCTTCCCACAGTGATGGGCATCAGTATTCCCCCAGGTGCACAAACATCAGGAACTAAAGGGTATCACTCTTGATTCCCACTTTTCCTTATACCTCACACCTAATCAGTCATCAAATCCTTTTGAGCCTTCTGCCTCATGTCTCGATTCTATCCATCCCTTCTCTTCATCCTACCCCTCACTACGGTAAGCTAAACCATAACTGTTTTTTTGTGACTGGAGTAGTACAAATCTCTCAATTTCACTCTTTGCCCCTAATCTAACCTTCCCTTGAGAGGCTTCCAACTGTCCTTTTGATAAAGGATAAACTCTTTAGGTGGATGAAAAGACCATTGATTACCTTTCCAGTCCAATTTAGTTAAGGATGTAGTGTATTCTATACCCAAACTTCCTGGATTCTAGTTCTGAGTTATGCCCTCGCTAGTTGATGACCTTGAACAAATCACTTAACCTCAATTTTCTCTTCAGGAAAATGGGGATAATAATACCTACCTCCAAATTTTGTTGTAAAAATTAAATAACTTGCTACATGCCAGGATCTTAGAACAGTCCCAGCTCACAATAAGCATACATATGTGTCAACTACTATTCCTCACTCCCTACCTCCAGTTCTACACTTCAACCAAACTTATTTCTCTATCTTCAGGCTTTCACATTTGCTGTTCACTTTTCAAAATACCCTGGCAACGGGCCACCAAAACAAAGTCTCGTTTTGGCCAGGTTCACCTCTGAGAACCTCTCCTCTCCCTCACAATATGGCTTAAGAGCAAAGTCTCTTTAGACAGAGGCCTGGGTTCACATCAACACATAGTCACTTACAGTGTCGGTAACTCTAGACATATTACTTATCATCTCGCTAGGACTCGGTTTACTTTTCTGCAAAATGGGGCAGATAACACCATCCACCATGAGGATGTGTTACTGTGAGGATGAAATGAATTTAATCTCCTGAAGCTCCCAGAACAAGATCTTAGAATAGTATCAGATAATCAATAAATTCTAGCTATTGACAATAATTATTATTCTACCTATTATTATTAATAAGATCTCAATAAAGCCTAGCTATTATTATTATTATTATTATGGCTAAGCTTGTTGTTATGCAGATCTCATTCCTTCTCTGTCTCCAGTCTTGATCTGAACGGCCTTGCCACTCCAACCATACCCTCCACTGTAGAGAAAATACTCTCTGAAGCTCGAATAATATCCCCCCAGTCCTGCTCACCATCACCCCAAACTTACATACGGACATAATGGGACATCACCAGACGACTCCTCAATACATCAGACCATGACCCCCAACTCGATCAGACGCCTGGGCCCTGCCAGGTATGAGGGACGCCAAATCAGCTTTATAAAGCGCCCCCATTAGACTCTGGGTGTCCCACGGCTCCATTCCTTTCCCCCACACTCCTTCCGTCGGAACCCGGTCCCCTCCAGGCTCCATCAAACCCCAGGCTCTGAGCCTACCCGCCCTCCCGCCCCTCAAGGCCAAGCCGCTGACCGGTCCTGGAGCTGGAGGTCGGGTCGCTCTCGAGGTTCCTCATAGAAGCTGATGCCCGGGTGCGTGGCAAGGGCCCTCCACAGAAACTCCTGCGTGTAGGGCTCCAAAGGCAGCGGGAAGGGCGGCACTCGGGTTTCCAAACGGCTCCACAGCGCGGGCAGACACAGGCCATCAAGCCCTTCGAGGGCCACCTCGTCCAACAACGACTCGAGCGCGTCCATTGCTACTTCACTTGGCAGCGCCCGCAGCGCCTGCGCACCAAGGCGTCAAGGACCCCGATCCAGCGCGCCTGCGCACAACGAACGGCAACACCGAAGGCGGGTCGGACCGACAATTGAAGGAGGAGTTCCAGAGCGTTACTTGACGTCACACCCTTGGGGGCGGGCTCAGTACGTGAAGCCCCACTGCCATTGGTCCGGAACCCCACAGTAACCAGGGGAACTGCAAACAGTACAGAGGCCGCTTCCGGTTTAAGCACCCGGAACCACCGCCTCTAGGGATGGACGGTGAGTGTTCATGGGCTCCTCCGCCCCCTCCCGCCCCACCCCTGCAGAATCCTAAGCCACAAACCCCTGGACCACCGCTGCCTCACCCAATGTGATCTCCAGTCTGAGGCGAAGGAAGCCTTAGTGGTCGGGGATGGGGAGAAGAGGCTGGGGGTTGGGGGAGTGGTCATTGTTTGGCCTGTGTCGAGCTGTGGTCGTGTAGGAATCCTGCACTGGCTGGGGGCTTAGTGAGGGGGTTTAGGTAGAGAAAGAAGAGCTAGACGTCTGAGGAGGGTCTTGTGTGTCTTAGGATGTGGACCTGTGGGATATGGGAGTTGGTATGGAGGGTAGCGTCATCAAGGGGAGTGCAGTCATAAGCTACTGGAAAACAGGACTTGGTAAGGGGAGTAGGGGAAGACTAGGGAATATTCTCTTCTGTATTCCGATGTTAATAGTACTGTTCAGTTCTAGGAACTCTGTTAGTGCTATCAAGCAACACCTCGCGAGCCTTCATAATAGCCCTTTGAGTTATCCCATGTGATCCCATTTTACGAATGAGGAAACTGAAGCGCAGAGAAGTTAAATAACTTGCCCCAAATCAGCCAGCCAGAAAGTGGCAGAGTGAGAAAGGAACCCAGACACTTTGTCTCTGGATCTGAATTATGAAGTTTGAGATTTTGAAGGGTCTTTAGAGGCCTTTCATTCCAGAGAATACAAATGTAGACACCTGCAGGGGCAAATCTAGTGGGCTGGATTGGGCTGTGACTGAAAATCAACCCTTCTGAAAGGGAAGCTTCTCTCTCAACGCTAATCAATTATTTTCCTGGGGCACTTCTCAAAATACCATGACGGTCAATCCATCTGAAGGCCATCTGCAGGCTGTGGGCCACCATTTAGGGGTTCCTGATTAGAATAATTGAATTGACAATTGAAAGCAATCTAAAAATAGGCTACTCTGGTATCATTTTGTAGATGGGAAGGCTAATGTCTAGAGAGACTGGTAGGGCCTGTGTTAGAATCCAGATGATTTTTCTCATTTTGCCACTGTCTCTCACTTCTGGGGGAATTTGTACCTTTGTGACATCTACTTAATTCAGTGGGTTTTGTTTTTTTTTTTAATTAACAGTATGTTATGTGCTTAAAAGTTGTCTTTGTCCTTTGTACTTCAGAGGTACTATAAAATGTCATTTGCCAGATTACCCTGTGGAAAGGTCAATGTATTACTGCTATATAACAATAATTCTCAAGTCATTTTGGTCTCAGGATGCCTTTTTACTCTTCAAAAGAGCTTTGTTTATGTATATTAATATCTATGATATTTACCATTTCAGAAATTAAAGCTGAGAAAAATCTTAAAACATTTATTTATTCAATTAAAAATAACAGCCCATTACTTCTGAATGTAAAAGGAAAAGTGGTATAATTTTACATTTTCTCAAATTTTTTCCATGTCTGGTTTAATAGAAAATAGCTAGACTCTCCTTTTGGTTTCAGCAACCAGACCTGTGCTGTTAATATGTGTGAAAAACTCAGGCTTCACATAGATACAGAGTTGGAACAAGAAATATTTTAATTGTCTTTTCTGATAGCTGCATATATTCTTCTTTGATACTATACCAAAGCTTAGCAAGTTGTAATTGCCTGAAGGTTACTCCCAACGTGACATCTGAAACCATGTTGGTGAACTTTTGTGCTCTTGTTACATTAAAACCCATTGGTTTATCTTGCTCTTCCATTGGATATTTTACCCATGTATGATTCTAGTAACTTAGGCATTGGTCATTTGGAAAATGTTACTTCACTGAATTATGCAAGTCTTCCAAATGTTGACATTGGAAATTTCATTACACAGTATCAGATGGCATATTATTACATAACATCAAAAATGATTCATTAATATTACCATCTATCTCATTTTCTTACTAGTTTAAGTGTTTGAAAACTATTAAACTCAACATAGTGGAAACAAGTTTTCTACCTGTTTTCACTTGAAAGATTGGATTTTATCATTGGCAACAAATGCTGTCAGTTGTTTCCTTGAAGTGAAAGGCTTACTCTCCTATTTGAAAAAGTGTCTGCCAAACCACCCAAGTCTGAATAACTATAGCTTGTTCTTCAAGTAAAAATCATGTTCTATAAAATATACAATATATGGCTAGATCAGCAGGCAACTCAATCACACGAGTGTTTTCTGGGATCAACCATTGTACTTGGGCATATAGCAGAAGTACCTTATATGTACATCCCATTTTCTTTTCCACCAGAATGTTAAAATATGTGCACTCATGGGTTGAGATTTAATAAAATTAATTATATTGTTTCATCAGGACAGTCTTAAAATGATTTTTTGTTTTATTGTGACTACATGGAAGAAAAAAGAAAAAAGAACTGCCAGTACAGTTTGCTGTCTCTGCCTTGTAGCCACTCAGGCTACAAACGGTTTTACCTACTCTTGCTTTTGCATCATCAGTACAAATGATCAACACAGTGAAAAAGTCTTAGAATTGTGGTGAAAAAAGTTTTGTTCTTGGGAACCTCTCTTCCTCATAGGATCAGTGGAACACACTTTTAGAAACATTGCTATAGACCATTATCAAAATGTCTGTGTATTCAGGTCTAATTTTTATCATCTTCACTCACCTAGGGCATTGTTATGGCCCAGTGGAGGAACCTGTTCATTTTCAGACTGGTTACAAAAAGGAAAACTTTTTTGTCTTTAAGAAAGTGTTTGCCTTAAGATTAGATTTATCATTCAAGGAATCCCTTTTGCCATTTCAATTTTTAAAACTTTGACTTACATTCCATTTTATAGGCACGTATCTATTGGGTAGGTAATTCATACATTGATGAATTGTGATTGTAACCAACTAGATAAGCCAAACCCAGGCTTATTAGAAAGGTGTTTACTTCCAAAATCACAAAACTTCAAATGACTACCAAGGATCCCCAAACTGGATTGTAGTTGGGTTTATTCTGCATGTCCAAATCACTGTAGCTTTTCACAGCATTTTCCCTGGCCCATCAGTTTTGACTGGGCTTGGTGATGCAGTATAATGTGATGCCAATAGTCCTGGGGACCCCATAGCTGCCCTGAATTTGAATCTCTGCTGTGTACTCTGACCTCTCTGAGCCATAGTTTTCCTGTCACTAAAATGGAGATGATGATGAAGCTTACCTTGCTTTGTTTGATAACCCACTGGTGAATTCATCATTGTGGATTCAAGGAGACTGCATGAATGCAACGAACACCAGGTCTAACATATAAAAAGTGCTCCTCCATGGTAGCTAATGCTGTCATTATGTGCAAGTGGGCCGACTTCCTCCACACTGTTGACAGAAGAGGGAGGCGGAATCTAATGAAGCCTTCTATCAAAAAATAATCTTTGTAATTAGCTCACTCTTTGCTTAAAAGAAAAACCAATGTTTGACATTTTTTATTTTCATGAAAGTAAATTGGCAATGTGTGAGTCTCCTGCCTGTGAAAATGTTCACCTTTATGTTAAAATTGAATTTCCTCCAGTGTTTTTAAAATATGGGATGGTTTAGAACAAAATCTCTACTCAGTTTTCAAGAATATAATTAGACAAAAGTTCAGCACATCAATATAATTAGAAAGGATTTTAAAGCTGCTCATTTGCTTTTGCTTCCCACAGAGCAAATATTTAACATTTCCCTGTTTATACTGTTCATTTGCTTAGCAAACTCTCACAGAATTAATAATGCAAAGGTGAAATTTAGCCTAGCTTGTTTAAATAATCCCAAACTACAAAACAGGTGACAGTTGAATCAGTAAGATTTTGTAGAAAGTATGGTGTCAGCATGTCTGGTCTCTTCTGTTCCTGTATGATTTTTACCTGGATTACTGGTGATTTGTCTATTTCTCTTATTACTTAAACTAAGCCAAGCAAAACAAACAAACAAACAAACACAACAAAATAAAGCAAGCATTCAACAGGCAAAATAAATGTGATCCATGTTCTCTTTTCCTTCCTTGGCTCTGATTCTTGATCTGATTCATTTTTTTCTCTTGATATTTTTTGGCATTCATTCCACCCTGTCATTTTAGCTTATAGCACCTGACATACAATGTTTTGCTTATTTTTCCTTAGGGCATTCATTCAGTGACTATACAACATTTCAGTGCCTTCTGTGCACTGCAATCCAGAGATTTCAAGATGAGTAAGATTGAATCCAGGTGAAGGGTGAATGGGAGTTCATTATATTAGTCTCAAATTTTTCTGTAAAGTTGATTTTTTTTAACATACAAGTTAAATTTTTTTTTTTATCCTTGAAACATAGAGATGCAGCAAATTTGAAAAGGATTTTTCTTTTTTTTATACCAGAGGTTACAAATTGGGAGTCTCTGGCTAAAATAGCCCACAGGCATATTTATTTGGCCCATAATGTTTTGTTCTTTAAATTTTTGAATTAGTTCTTCACATTGAAAAATGGGGAGATTTCTCATAAATATCTGATTATAGCATTTCCTTTAAAATATCAATAAAGTGTTAACATCGAATTAGAATTCCACACAGCCTAAGTTCCCTCACAGCTGGAGCAAAGTGGAGAAAGGAGGTCACTCCAATTCACCACAACACCTACCAGACTGGTTTCCCTCACTGTACTTGGTGCCTGCCTGGGCCGCACAGGCATCTGAAGTTACAATCCTGCTCTAGTATTAACTTGGACAATTTTGAAAATCCCTGTGGACTTTATACCATACTGTGCTATACTTGTCTTTTAATTTTAATCAGAAAGAAAAGGGGAGATATATAGTATTCTCTGCCCTTAAAAACCTCATAGTCTGATGAGAAAGCCAGACATAAACAGATAACTACTGTCAACATAAGAATCGTCCAAACCTGTAAGAATTTTTATGAGCTTATTTGAGCCAAAATGACAACAGTTGCCGGGAAGCAAAACCTCAACGGGTTGAGAAAATGCTCCAGAAAAATAGCAGTTTTGCACCTTATTTTATACATTACAATCAAAGGAGGAGACATAAGTGGTTTACATGAAAT